AGAGGGAAGGATTAAAGCTTGGTAGTCCTGAAAAGACTTTGGCTTTTATGTTGGACAGGCCAGGATATTTCGGGGTTTTTGAGCAAAGATTGACACTTATGTTTTTGTTGCTTTTTGTTTTTGAGATAGGGTCTCACCCCTGTTGCCCAGGTTGGAGTGCCAGTGGTACAACCAGGACTCACTGCAGCCTCAACCTTCCAGCCTCAAAGCAGATCCTTTTGAGTAGCTGGGACTACAGGCCACATGGCCACATAGCGCCGACTATTTTTTATTTTTATTTTATTATTTATTTATTTGAACAGAGTCTTGCCCAGGCTGGAGTTGTAATGGTGTGATGTTCGGTCTCACTGCAACCTCGCCTCCAGGTTTCAAGCGACTTCTCCCTGCCTCAGTTCTCTCAAGTAGCTGGGGATTACAGGCACCTGCCACAACGCGCCTGGGCTAATTTTTGTATTTTGGTAGAAGATGGGTTTTCCTCCAATGTTGGCCCAGCTTGGTTCTCGGAACTCTGACCTCAGGTGATCTGCCCACCTCGGCCTCCAAAGTGCTGGGTATTATAGATGTGAGCCAGTGTACTTTAAATTTTTGTAGAGATGCGTCCACAGGCCCGCGGGCGCGGTGGCTCAAGCCTGTAATCCCGCACTTTTGGGAGGCCGAGGACGGGCGGATCACGAGGTCAGAGATCGATTCTGTAACACGGTGAAACCCCGTCCTCTACTAAATTATTACAAAACTAGCGGCGCGGTGGCAGGTGCGTCCTGTAGTCAAGCTTCTTGAAGGGCTGGAGAGCGCAGGGAATGGCTGTGAACCGGGATGGTGCGGAGCCTTGCAGAGCTGGATTCCGCACTGGCACTCCAGCCTGGGCGCAGAGCAGACTCCGTCTCAAAAAAAAAGAAAAAAGAGATTGGGTCTCACTATGTTGTCATGGCTGGTCTTGAACTCCTGGGCTCAAGCGATCCTGCTACCTCAGCCTCCCAAAGTGCTGGGATTACAAGCATAAGCCACCACACCTGGTTCAGAAATTCAATTTTGGACATTTTGGGTTGGTGGCATCCATTAGACTTCTGAGGGGAGATGTCAAGGAGAAATAGATATTTGAGTTAGGAGTTTTTTTAAAAAGGGCTGGAGATTTTAAAAATTGGGCATTACTAGAATGAGTGGTATTTGAAGTCATTCGGCTGGATGAGATCATCAAAGGAGTGCCTATGGATACAAAAGACGAGGACAACTCTACTGTGGTTACTTTAATGTTAAGAATTATAGGAGGCTTGCTGGGCACCGTGGCTCACGCCTGTAATCCCAGCACTTTGGGAGGTTGAGGTGGGCGGATCACGAGGTCAGGAGATCGAGACCAGCCTGGTTAACATGGCAAAACCCCATCTCTACTAAATAGGACCAAAAATTAGCCGGGCATCGGTGGCCAGGAGCCTTAACAATTTCCAGCTACTCGGCAGGCCTGAGACAGGAGAATGGCATGAACCCGGAGAGGCAGAGCTCTTGCAGTGGAGTGCCGAGTCGACACCACTCTATCCCAGCCTGGGCGACAGAGCAAGACTTCTGTCTCAAAAAAGAAAAAAGAGCCGGGCGCGGTGGCTCAAGCCTGTAAATCCCAGCACTTTGGGAGGCCAGACGGGTGGATCACCGAGGTCAGAGATCGAGGACCATTCCCTGGCTAACACGGTGAAACCCCGTCTCTACTAAAAAATACAAAAAAATGCCGAGGGTGGCGGGGCGCCTGTATCCGCGCTACGTCGCGGGAGGCTGAGCAGGAGAATGGCGTAACCCGGGAGGTGGGAGCTTGGCAGTGAGCTGAGATCGGCCTGCATCCAGGCCTGAGCGAGCAGGGGAGCGACTTCCGTCTCAAAAAAAAAAAAAAAAAAAAAGAATTATTGGAGAGAAGAGGATGAACCAGTGAGGTAGAAGGAATATCAGGAGAGTATGTTCTCTCCAATGCAAATGAAGAAAGTGTATCCAGGAGGAAGGAGTGATCAACCAGGTCAAATGCTACCAAAAGGTTAAATAAGAGGAGGACTGAGAATAATACCATTAGGGTCCAGCAACACCAAGGATATTGATGACCTTGACAAGAATAGTTCAGTGGAGTGTGGGAGTAAAAGATTGGCTAGAGGGATTTAAAGAGAGAACAGGAGAAAAGAAATTGGACGCACTTAGGAGAGAGAGTTATTTCAAGGAATTTTGCTGCAAAGGTGAGCAGAGGAATGGGGCAATAGCTGGTGGGGAAAGTGGAGTAAAAAAAAAAATTGAGATGGAGTCTTGTTCTGTCGCTAGGCTGCAGTGCAGTGGCGGGTGCAATCTCGGCTCACTGCAACCTTGGCCTCCCGGGTTCAAGCGATTCTCCTGCCTCAGCCTCCTGAGTAGCTGGGACTACAGGCACACGCCACCACGCCCAGCTAATTTTTGTATTTTTAGTAAAGACAGGGTTTCACCATGTTGCCTAGGATGGTCTCAAACTCCTGAGCTCAAGTGATCCACCTGCCTTGGCCTCCCAAAGTGCTGGGATTACAGGTGTGAGCCACCATGCCCGGCCCTGATGCTATACTCAGTTTAGAGAAAGGCTATGTGGACAGAAGATAGATCACAGGGAAGAGGGGTCATAAAAGCATGTGGGGAAAACGTATATTCAGTCTTAGAGATGCTAGGAGGAACTGTGTCTTTAGAATCAAGGCTGCCCCATGACAGGAAACAAGGTTTTAAGGTTACTTGACTAAGAGACTCGTCATACCTTTTCCCCTCTTGGAGGTTCCGGACTCACTGAGCTAACTTTCTGGTAACTGGGTTTCCCAAGGGGTAGCCCAAACTGCCTTGATCTATTGATGCAGAAATTCAGTTCTGCTTGACAGTTTTATTTCGCTGTGCAAATTAATACCTAGCCTTCTGGGGTTTGTACACAGGCCTTTATTCTGGTCAAATGCCAGACCTGCAAAGCTAGTCGGATGCACTCACTCAACCAGTGAAACTGGGTTTTGGGGCCAGAGGTCTGGGAACCATGTCCCTCAAAACAGCCAAAGGTATCCATCTTTAGCAGAACTACCTTGTACCAGTTAATCTGCAATAAGTGACTAGTGAGAGAATGAAGGGAAGATCTAGCTGGACAGGGTAGACAAGACTCCAGGGTACAGCCAGGAAAGGGGATCCTCCTGAAGCCTTTGCCTCATCTTAGGCACCTCCTTCTTCAGGAAGGTTTCCTTGATCCTTGCTCCACCCAGGCTGGAGTAGGTATCCTCATGTGCACTTTTCATGGCACTGACTAGTCACACTGGGCAGGGAGCATTTGTCTACTTGTCACAACACATCTGAGCTTTTGGAAAATAAGGATAATGTCTTAATTGTCTTTGTAGCTCAGGGGCCTGGTGCAGAGTAGATACTCAGTTAATGTTTCTTGAGTGCATGACTTGGCTGAATGAATGACTGAGAATGGATTGATTAAAGACAAGAGAGGAGGGACTGTAAGCCCCCCAGGATAGGAACCCCGACTGACTTGTGGTGTACTCCCCAGTGCCCAGCACAGTGCCTAGCAGAGTCAGTGCCCAAAGTGTTCCAGATATGCTGACCGAGGATCAGATCCCACTTGCCTCAAGACTCTCTACCTGACCACCTCTCTCCTTGCTGCCCCTGGCTAGTACAGAACATCCAGTCCCGCTGCCGCACTAAGCAACACGGAACTGGGTGGCACCTAGACTTGTTCCCTGTCGCTGCAGATGTAGGGTAGTGTCTTTCCCTCCTTCCAAGCTAGTCGCCCAGGGCAGGGTCGCCCTATCTGGCTAGGGTGCTGCACCCTCAGCTGTCGGTATCTTAGGTCAGACGCCCGGAACGCGCAGGCCGTTTCTACCCCTCCGGAAAACAATCTCCGAGCTGCGCCACGACCCCGTCCCTGCGGAGCAGGAGTGGGGAAAGGGAAGGCGGGAAGGCGAGCCCGCGACTCTGCTCCCCAACCCCAGCTGGCACGGCTTTTCACGCACCTCTCCCCGCCCGGCCCGATTTCCCCATCCTGGCTCTGGCGCGGTGCTCCTTGCAGCCCCACGCTTTGCAAACTTTGGGAGTTTTACTCCATTTGCGTCACGGAAAAGGCAGGAGGATGACGGAGTCCAGGAAGCGAGGCAGCAGTGGCTGGCAAGCTCCACCGCCGGGCGCTCCAACCACGGGGGCGTGAGGTGTCTCCCGGCGAGGGCAGACAGAGGGAGGGAGAGCAGGGGAGGTGGCGGTCCCAGAGACCAGCCCCGGAGGCTCTCGGGCTCCCTCGTTCCCGGGTCGTTTCCTCCCTCTTGCCTCCGGGACTGAGCGAGGGCACTGGCCAGATGGGAAGCCGCGCGGAGGAGTAGGCGGGGGCTCGGCTGCAGCGCCCCGGGCCCGCGGGAGGGCGGAGCTGGCCGTCCCTGCCCCGCCGGGACGCACGGAAGTGCAGCGGAGTTTGCCCGATTCTCCAGCCTGCTTCCCCCTCCCTCCTCCCTCTCCCCACCCCTCACCTCCCCTTTGGCGATCCCCTCCTTCCTCGGGACGCCACCTCCCGGAATCGCGTTTTTGTTTTGGAGCTGCCTTCTCGCTGGCGGCGCGGAGGGTCTGCGAGCGCAGGGGAAGGCAGGCTGGGGGCGCAGCCCGCCCCCCACTGGCCGGGCCCCGCAGGGCGGAGCGGAGGACGGACGGACAGACGGCCAGCCGCGCCATCTGCTCGCCGGAGCTCACTCTCCAAACTCCAAACTGTTGAGTGTGTGCGTGCACGCGAGGGTGGGGGTCGGGGGTCGTAAGTCCCGGGTGAGGAACTGGTTTCTGCTGGGGTTACCTTTGGACGGGGTTCCTGGGATTCAGAGCAGGGTCAGCGTCAGTCTCAGAAACTGCTGAGGAATTAGGCAAACAAAAGAGACCACTCAGCGACTGGCCAGAAGTCGCCCGACCGCCTCGTCGCGCCCCCTCCTTCCTCTGGGGTTGGGACTGGCCACTTCTGGGGCGGGGAGAGGGCGCCCGAGCCGGCGGGGGCTCCGGCTGCGCAGCCGGGGTCGAAGAGTTGGCGGCCTGTTGTGTAAGCCTCAGTCCTTGTTTTCCCGGCCTGGCTCGTTGTGAAGCCGGACACATCCACCCTTGGACTCGATTCAGGCGGCTGCTGCTTTTCTCCTTGCCCCTCTTGGATTTTCCGGATATTTGAAAACCCAGTGGCCCTGGAGCAAGAGGAGGAGGAAGGAGGAAGGGGCAGATCTGCAGAGGAATGTGAGAGCCTCCCAAAGCGAGAGTGGCCAAAAGAATCTGGGAGCCAGAGGGACAGCCGAGCCCTGCCTGGGTTTCTGGAATGGTGGTTTCCGAGTGAGTCTCTTCTATTTTAGAACGTTGTTCCAGTGGAAAGTGTCGAATTTTTCCCCTGGCAGAGCAGATTTCTCCAGGTCACTTGACTTTTCTTCTGGGAGTAGGAGTTAGGAGAGACTCCCCTCTAATCCCCCAGGGGCTGCTAAGGGAGGAGGCTATGGACATGAGCCCTCCCTGCTCACAAGCATATGCCCGGAGACCTGATAGGGCAGTTTCTGGGCCGTGGACATTGCTTTGAAGAGCGGGAGATTGGACAGTATCTGTGGGTGCTGAGACCCCACCTTAGGACCTGAGAGATTGAACTGTGTAAGCGCCATTCAGCTGCGAGTGCATTCTTGGACTTCCTTGTGAGCATCCCGGGTCTGGACAGGACCCTCTCCTTCCCATCTGTCTATACCACCCAGCCCAACCATGGCACTGAAAGGCCGAGCCCTCTATGACTTTCACAGTGAGAACAAGGAGGAAATCAGCATCCAGCAGGATGAGGACCTGGTCATCTTCAGCGAGATCTCACTGGATGGCTGGCTGCAGGGCCAGAACAGCCGTGGGGAGACAGGGCTCTTTCCTGCCTCTTACGTGGAGATCGTCCGTTCTGGCATCAGCACCAACCACGCTGACTACTCCAGCAGCCCTGCAGGCTCTCCGGGGGCCCACGTGAGCTTGTACAATAGCCCCAGTGTGGCCAACCCAGCTAGGAGTGGTGGGGGCAGTGGCTTCCTCTCAAACCAGGGTAGCTTCGAGGAGGATGATGATGATGATTGGGATGACTGGGACGATGGATGCACAGTGGTGGAGGAGCCACGGGCTGGTGGGCTGGGCACCAATGGGCATCCTCCCCTCAACCTCTCCTACCCTGGTGCCTACCCCAGCCAGCACATGGCCTTCCGGCCCAAGCCACCGCTAGAGCGGCAGGACAGCCTGGCATCTGCCAAGCGAGGCAGTGTGGTGGGCCGTAACCTCAACCGTTTCTCATGCTTTGTGCGTTCTGGAGTGGAGGCCTTCATCCTGGGTGATGTGCCCATGATGGCCAAGATCGCTGAGACATACTCCATTGAAATGGGCCCTCGTGGCCCCCAGTGGAAGGCCAACCCCCACCCATTTGCCTGCTCTGTGGAGGACCCCACAAAACAGACCAAGTTCAAGGGCATCAAAAGCTACATCTCCTACAAGCTCACACCCACCCATGCTGCCTCACCTGTCTACCGGCGCTACAAACACTTTGACTGGCTCTATAACCGCCTGCTACACAAGTTCACTGTCATCTCAGTGCCCCACCTGCCTGAGAAGCAGGCCACAGGCCGCTTCGAGGAGGACTTCATTGAAAAGCGGAAGCGGAGACTCATCCTCTGGATGGACCACATGACCAGCCACCCTGTGCTCTCCCAGTACGAAGGCTTCCAGCATTTCCTTAGCTGCCTAGATGACAAGCAGTGGAAGATGGGCAAACGCCGGGCGGAGAAGGATGAGATGGTGGGTGCCAGCTTCCTGCTCACCTTCCAGATCCCCACCGAGCACCAGGACCTGCAGGACGTGGAAGATCGCGTGGACACTTTCAAGGCCTTCAGTAAGAAGATGGACGACAGCGTCCTGCAGCTCAGCACCGTGGCGTCAGAGCTGGTGCGTAAACACGTGGGGGGCTTCCGCAAGGAATTCCAGAAGCTGGGCAGTGCCTTCCAGGCCATCAGTCATTCCTTCCAGATGGACCCCCCTTTTTGCTCTGAGGCCCTCAACAGTGCCATTTCTCACACGGGCCGTACCTATGAAGCCATCGGGGAGATGTTTGCTGAGCAGCCCAAGAATGACCTCTTCCAGATGCTGGACACACTGTCTCTCTACCAGGGCCTGCTCTCTAACTTCCCTGACATCATCCACCTACAGAAAGGTAAGACCCAGTGCAGGCAGGAAACCCATCCTGAGTCTGACTCTCTGCTGGGCCCTGGGGAGATGGGGATGGCCTGGATAGAATGGAGCAACTTATCTTTATTTCTCTGTCTCAATCATTCATTTAACAAATGTGTTGGACTGGGCATGGTGGCTCATGCTTGTAATCTCAGCACTTTGGGAGGTTGAAGTAGGAAGATCAATCACTTGGACCCAGGAGGTTGAGACTACAGTGAGCCCGATTGTGTCACTTCACTCCAGCCTGGGTGACAGAGTGAGACCCTGTCTCTAAAACAAACAAACAAACAAACAAACAAACATGTTGAGTATCAACTCTGTATCTGTGCAAATGTGCTTCTAGGTGCAGGAATATTGTTGTGCACAGGCCTGGTCTCTGTCCTCATGGAGCTTGATATTTACCTTCTTGTCAGTTCATTCATTTTCTCTGGATCTCATTTACCCATCATGCATGGTGTCATGCTGCGTTCTGAGAACACACAGATGACCAGGCCCCAGGCCTTGCCCTTGAGGAGCCGGTAGGCCCTTGGGAGACAGAGACCCAACCCAGATAACAAGAGCTCAGAGTGGGGGCCTGTCTTCTGCCCCTTGCAAGTTCACCTCCCCACCTTTGCAGCTTTGCAAGTTACTCTCACCACTGTGTATTCTCTCTATGAGCGTCTTGTCTGTGTGCAGGAAGATCCCTGTCCCCATTTTGCGGATGAAGGAGTTAGTGTCCACAGAAGAGTGGTTGCACAGCCTGTGGCCCGGCTGGGACTGTCCTTTCCTCCTGCCACCTCCCCAAGGACACGTCCATGTTGGCCACTTCCCAAGCCTAGCCATGTTTTCAGTTGTCATGACCCCCTCCGTGGGGGAGGGACAGGATGGGCCTCTGCCTGTTACTGCTGGGGCTGTCAAGGAACTGCCGGGGAAATGACTCATCCTGGGTCACACAGGGGCACCCTGGCTGGACCAGGCTGCGGAATCAGGGGTCCAGGGCACTGCCCACATGGCCTATCCAACTCCTGCTTCCCAAGCCTGGCTTCTCTTCTTGCCTGAGGAGACAGCCAGTGACTGCCCCAGCAGGTGCCTGAGTCCTGGGGACAGCTAGGAGGGCAGATGTCAGGAGAGAGGTGTGATCCTCCCTGGGGCTGCTGGGTAACTCGTATGCAGGGCGTGGAGCTGGCTCCCTGGCCCTTGGGCCCTGAGGTCAGGCCTGGCTTGGTGGGGAGTTTGACTCTGGGTGGGGCCAGGAGGCAGACCTCTGGACTGAGCCTGGGGAACAGGAAACATGTCACCCACCACCACCAGGGAGGGCCTGGGGTAAGCTGGCCTTACTTTCCTTTACCAAGAGGTTGACTTCTATAACTTCTCTAGCTCCCAGCCTCCTTTCTCCCCTCACTATATCCTCTTCCTCTTCCTGTTTTTTTTTTTTTTCTTTTTTCTCATCTCTACCTTTCTTCTTCCTCCTCTGAACTCCACGAAACACAAACCTGAGTGCTAGTCTTGGCTCTGCCCCTAGATTGCTGTGCATCCCTGGGGAGTGCCTTTGTCTCTCTGGGTCTTAGTTTCCTGGTCTGTAAAACAAGGGAAGGTCAGGTCTTCGAGGGAGTGGGTGGGAAGGGACTCTTGGGGAGGGTCTGGTTCAGAAGCAGAATGACACCTTAGCTCTGACTCTGAGCTCTGGGGCAGGAGTAGGGCAGGGGAGATGGCCAGGCCTGCTGGGGGCCCACTGGGGCAGGTGTCTCCCTGAGCAGAAGTGGGAAGGCTGGTTCAACCAGCTCCTTAGATGGCTTGTTCCTGCGCAGGCAGCAGGAGGGGGAGCGCAATGATTAAACAGATGCTCCCATGTAGTGGCTGGGGACCCCCACCCAGAACAGAGGTGAGGGCATTAGGGCAGCCCCACACCCTGGAAGGACACCAGGGCCTCCCAGGCTGAGGGGGAAGCCGGATTGGCCTTTCTGACCCTGGGCAGAGAGACCGAACTGAGAGAGGCCATTTCTGAGTTTCGACTTGAGGTGTTTCTAAGAGTCAGGGGCCACTGTCCTCTGTGCTGATGCATTTGACCTGAAGCAGAGGCCAGCCCACCTCCTTCCCTTCCCGGGATGAACCCTACCAATGGGCTAAGCCCCCTCTGGCTTACTCTAAGTTCTGGGCTCCACACTGCTCCTCCCAGGCCTGTGGTGTGGGGCAAGTTAGGGAGCGGGTACTGAGACAGAACTGGACAGGCTTTGGGGACCACAGCCCAGTGGGGGTGATAAGGAGGGGGTCCTATGCTGGCCCTAGGGGTGGAGCCCTTCTCACAGAAAGGAGAAGAACAGTTGGGTCCTGGGCCCCAAGGATTCTGTTCAGCTTGTCTGGACATCTGAATGGGTGGTGAGTGTGTGGGAGGAAGGACAGTGGAGGCCTAGGTGGGAGTCAGGAGACCAGGATTTGGACAAACTTTGCATCTGACATGACTTTGGGAAAGATTTCTCCCCTCAGTCTCTAGGTGAACAAAATGGGACCTGAGGGTCTTCATTTCCTTAGGAGGGCTCCATGTCATGTGAAACTTACATTAAACAAATTTGTATGCTTTTCAAAAATAAAAATAAAATGAAATAAAATGGGACATAAACCCTGGCTGGAGCTGAGAGGAGCCTGGTCTTCCCACGGGCCTAGTCCCTGTAGCCCAATCCAGGGGTCTCCTAAGAGAAGGGTAACCATAGGCAGTTTGGGGCATAAAAGGGGGCCCTAGCAATAGTGATCCCAGGACAACAAGGGGAAAGTGTCCAGGACTGTCCGGGGCAAGCCGGGACCTATGGCCCCCCAACTTAAGAGCCAGCAAGAGCAGGGCTGGTCCTAAGGCTCATGACAGGTCAGGAGGGCAATGTGGTCACCTCCGTTTTACAGACGAGGTGCAGCAATGCAGATGAGCCTCAGAGCAGGATCTGGCGCCCAATGTGTCTGACTCCGCAGCCCAGGATTTCTACTGTGTTTCTACTGTGCCCCCCAGATAGGGGAGGGGATCCCCAGGGATGGAGAGCTGAGCCAGAAGGGGAAAGAGGAGGGAGGAAGGCTTGGGTGCTCCTTCACTGGTCCCATGGGCTAGAGATAGGCCCAGGACCACAGAGCATCCATGGAGGGGCCACAGGGACAGCGTGGTCAAAGCAAAGTGGCCATTGTAGGGACAAGTTCTTGCTTTGGGGACAGATGGGTTCAGCCTCTGGGTTCTAAGCCATTATCTAGCCCTCCCTCTACCTCACCCCCCTAGGCGTAAACAAAGAGAATAATACTCTGCTGTGAGCTACCACCTGAAGGTACTTGCTGTGAGCTCATGGATAGAAAAGCAGTTTGCACTGGGCTCCGTGGCTCATGCCTGTAATCTCAGCACTCTGGGAGGCCAAAGTGGGCGGATCACAGGAGTTCGAGACCAGCCTGGCTAACATAGTGAAACCCTGTCTCTACTAAAAATACAAAAAAATAGCCAGGCATGGTGGCGGGCACCTGTAATCCCAGCTACTTGGGAGGCTGAGGCAGGAGAATCACTTGAACCTGGGAGGCGGAGGTTGCAGTGAGCCGAGATCAAGCCACTGAACTCCAGCATGGGCAACAGAACAAGACTCCATCTCAAAAAAAAAAAAAAAGAAAGAAAAAGAAAGAAAAGAAAAGTAGTTTTCAAGCTATAGCATGTAGCATCTGGAGCTCCTATTCTATCTCAGATACGACCCTTTCTACTGTGTACATATTAGTTAAGCCTCAACTATACTATAGGGCGGGTACTATTATTATCCCATTTTACAGATGTGGAAACTCTAAAGCACTATACCGTATGAGAGGTTGTCAACAACATCACATCTAGGGCAACCTGTCCCACTGGGCAGTGGGGAGACCTGGAGCCCAGGCAAGAGCAGTGGCATGCTGGAGAGGACACAGCTAGGACTAAGACTCAGACCTCCTGCTCCCTCCTGCCCCCAACCTGGGGTGGATGTTAGCTATCTCCAAGAGGTAGCGGCAAGATGGATTGAGGTGGGAGCTTAGGGAATATCCCTGGGACTCTGTAGCTGGTGGGCTCCAGCCCTCCTTTCTGCATTTCTGGGACCCAGCCTGTAAGAGGAGTGCTGAGGCAGCAGGTCCTCCTGGGTCCTCAGCTCTCAGGTTAAGTCTTAAGTAGAATGTAGGGGGGATGCTGGACAGGCCTGAGCCATGACTCCCAGCCTGTGGGGTGGGGTGCATTAGCATTAGCTGGTCCTGGCCCCAGAGCTGAGTCACAGGGTGGAGGGGTAACGGAGAGTAGGGTGGGGCCTCTGTTTCCCCCCGACCTCTGTGGCCTTTGCTCCCCATCCCTGGCCTCCTGCCTGTCTTTGGATACCTAACCATTGCAATGGGTTCATTCTTACTCTTTGGGCTCCTCATTAGCAAAAGAGACCTTTCCTTCCTTCAAGGCCATGGGCAGGAAAAGTCTACAGATGCACTTCCACTGTGCCAACTTTCTCAGGCAGGTGGAATCCAGGCTAGTTCAGTATCTCCCCTTTAGCTAGGTTCCTTCTGTGGAAGTTTAACTCCAGTTTCTTCACCCTGCTGTTTTCTACCTTTCTTGTTACGGTTCTTCCTACTCCTTGGGACCTTCTTGAATCCCTGCGTCCAATGTCTGGGGGCCTCACACACATGCCTGAAGGACCTAGCATGTACTCCCTGCAACAGAAGTGGTGTCCAACCCCCAGCTGTGGAGGACCAGGCAGGACAGAGGCTGGGAGTTCTGGGCAAGTTCCTGTCCCTCAGGGCCTTGGCCTCCTCTGTACAGTAGTAGGGTGGAGGTGGAATTGAGGGTCAGACACCTGACCTTTTGGGCCTTTCCAGCTCTGATGTCTCTTTCTGGGTCCTATCCTGGGCCTTGGGGTGATCCCCCTTCTGCTGCCCAGGGCTGGGCTGTTGAGATGGTGCAGGAGGTGGTCCAGGGAAGGTGGCAGAAGGACTGAGTGGGCTGGGAGCTGGGGACTGCAGATTTCTTTTGGGTGCTGTGTGAGCAGCCCTGGAGACTCTCTGAACTTGAGTCTGTTTGCCTGAAATGCTACTATTAGCCGAGTAGCCATGCACTTGTCAACTAACATGGATGCTGTCCCTTCTAAAGGCATCCAGAATTATTCCCAGCATGTAGAGCCCTGGGCCTGATATACAGTGAGTGCTCAATGAATGCATTTAGAAAGCACTGGACAATTTCAGTCAGGGAGTGAAGAGAATACCATCTAGAAGGCCCTCAAGAGCCCTCCTTAAAGGAGAAGTGGGAAAGCATGGATATTGAGCATGCTGTCTCTGTGCAGTGGGTGCGTTTGAAGTGCTCAGGGGTGTGCTGTTCGCTGTGCCAACCCTTCCCACCTCCTAATCTTCTTTGCATGGTGGATTCCCTGTAGCCCTCGGTGACTGAGTGCCAGGCACAGGCAAACTTCCTTCTCTTCCCAGCAACTGTCCCTACTGGCTTAAAGGCAGAATTAGTCAAGTCCCTTTTAATTCAGAACTGAAATTCATTCACCAACTGCTTGTTCATTCATTCAGATTCTTCTAAATTGGGTCCTCTGCTCAGGTTCATCTCCACCCCCCATCTGTTACCTGGTTATTACACAACCTCCTCTAGTTCCCTGGGGGCTGGGATGAGGAGGGAACAGGGCGTGCATGTCTGGGAGATACACCAGGTGGCCTTTGAAGAGTTGCTTTAGAATCATAAGTGTGATGGGGGTGGGAGTGGGGAGCCAGGGCACAGGTGACATGGGGGAGGCATTCTGTCAGGGGAACTGGGAGAGGCTCCAGTGTAGAAGTGGCACCTGATCGGGACCATGAATTATGAATAGGAATCCAGGGGGCAGAGGTAAGAAAGAGCCAGGTGAGTTTGATGAACATGGGGGTCACTGCGGAATGCATGCAGGGGCCAACTCCAGAGGTGAGGGCGCCCCCGGCCAGGCAGATTGGTGTGGACCTTGATCTGTTGGTGGTGGAGAGCCAGGAAAGGTGCCCAGCTTGGAAGACCTCTTTAGATGCTGCAGAGAACCTGTCAGAGGCTGGGGCAGAGGGCAGGGAGCCGTGGGGGGACTGTTGTGGCAGTCCAGTGATGGACAGGGTTGAATCAGTTCAGCAGGCCTATATCAGGATCTGCTGTGGGCCAGGCCTTGTTCTGGGTACCAGGGACACACAGAGGTTGAGGACAGGCTGTATCCTCATTGAACTCATAGTCCATCAAGCAAGGCTGTGACTGGTCACGTGTGGGCTACTGGTGGCACTGCAAATTTGGAGGGAAGATGATGTGCTTGGTTTAGGAGGTACTGAGGGTGAGGACCTGGGGAATGTCCTGGCAGAGACACCCAGGTGGCTGGAATGTGGGTCTGGGGCTCAGGAGTGAGGTCCGAGTTGAACTGATGAGGGTGCTGTCTGCCCTCAAGGGTATAGGGAGCACATGGAGATCAGAGCCCTAACATGCTGTCCTCTGCTCTGCCTATGCCAGGCGCCTTCGCCAAAGTGAAGGAGAGCCAACGCATGAGTGACGAGGGCCGCATGGCGCAGGATGAGGCAGATGGCATTCGCAGGCGCTGCCGCGTGGTGGGTTTCGCCCTGCAGGCCGAGATGAACCACTTCCACCAGCGCCGTGAGCTCGACTTCAAGCACATGATGCAGAACTACCTGCGCCAGCAGATCCTCTTCTACCAGCGGGTGGGCCAGCAGCTGGAGAAGACCCTGCGCATGTATGACAACCTCTGACCGCGTGTGCCTAGGCCCCCTCCTTCCCCTGGGCCTGGTCACTGCAGTGTACCCCACTTTCCCAACCTCCCTATACCAGCAGTGGCTGGGGGAGGGGTCAGCAGTTGGGGAGAGAAGCGGCCTGTCCTGCCTCCTGGGAGAAGGAGCTTTCAAGGAGTCATGAGTACCCCTGGGAAATTCCCCACTCCTTAGAAGTGGGGCACAGCAGGGGTGAGAATGGAGCCAAGAGCCCTCGAGGCCAAGGCCTGGGCTGCCGGTTAGTCAGTGAAGGTCAGGCCAGGGTCTCAGCCTCCCCTAGAGCCTATTTTGCTTGCTCACCTGGCCACTGCTGCCTTATCCATTCAGCAGACACCAAGGCCTGCTGCACCCCTGGGTCGGACACTGGGCACCCAGGGCTGTAACTTGCCTGCTCTTCAGGAGTCCTCAGTGAAGGTCGGGGTTAGACATAGACAAAGTCAATGCAGTGTGACTGACGGTGAAGTGAGGGATTTCTGGAAGCTCATAGAAGGGGCCACAGCATTCCACTGGTCAGGGAAGACTCCATGGAGTAGGCAACATTCGGGCAGTGTTTTAAAGGATGACAAGGGCCTGCCAGACAGTACATGGGGAGAAGGACTTTCAGGGGAGAGGAACAGCATGGGCAAAGTTATGGAGGCATGCAAACATCTCCCTCTTCTCTCCCTTACTTTCCAAGCAAGTTAGGTGCGCTTTCCTTGGGGATTCTGGCCTGTGTGGTAGGAAGGGATCTCCCTTGCTCCCATGTTGCTGGCTGTCCTTGCATCACCCTGTCCCCTGCAGGAGGGGGCTACAGGCCATCTCCCTCCTGTAGGCCTCTGACTACCCTCCACTTTTGGGCCCCCAGCTTCTCTCGGGTAGGAGACCATTGCAGCATCCTTCCCTCCTCGGGTTCAAGGTGCTGAGGTATAAGCCCTGGGCCCCAGATCCCTGGTGACACCTTCCTGGAGAAGACTCTCGAAAGCGACTGTATATGTGAGTTCACCAGCAATAACTCCCCACACTCGAAGCAGGTCCAAACCCAGGATCCCAGGGTCCTTGGGCTCCTTGGCACTGTCTTCCCCAGATCCTTCCTGTTGCACAATGGGAAACCTAAGAGGAAAAAGACAGGGGCCTGCCTGCCTGCCCACCCGCTCTCTGCCTGCCTCGCTGGAATGCAGGCCCCCGCTCTGGGTTGGGTTGTGCTGTCTCTGACCTATGTTTACATCCCCAAGGAGTTACTGCCTCCTCCCCACCCAGGTCAGGGTGTGGTCCAGCAGCTTGTTGTGGGGTGCTGACCTGTGTCACCACTGCCCTCCTTGCCCCCAGGGGGGTCATGGTCTCCTCCTGGATACTGCTGCTTGAATCTTTTTTCTTGATAAACCTTTTACAATTAAGATAACACAAGCATGACTTTTTCTGTTTGGATCCCAGAAAGGTGGAGGGCAGAAGAAGGATAGAGGCCTAATTGCTCCTGGGAGCCATTGGATGAGATTCTGAGGTCCTGGTGGGCACAAATTTACCACAGGACCTCAAAAGTTGGGGGGAGGGCTGTGCTGGTGGAAGGTGCCAGCAGGCAGGAGGAGCTAGAGGTGGCTGTGGACCCCCGGGTGGATCCATCCCTCTCTAGAACGCCCTGTTGTCTCTAAAATGGGTGGAGTGCTGCCCAGGGGACTGGCTGTATTGCCTTGTGATCTGGGGCTGAGGGTTGTATGAGGAAGGGACAGGATGCTGTGCCCCAGGACAATTTAATAGATGGTGGCTCCTCTCCCCAAGCAGCCATGCCCTGGCCTTGCCCTTGAAAAGCCCTAGTCCACAGGAGAGAAGTGGGGGACTCAGAAGCTGTGTCTCTTCCCCAAGCTGTCTTGGGTATCCAACAGAGCAGAGGCTCCCACACTGGAAACTGAAGAGGATGCTGGCTGTGCCCTTGGGGGTGCCCTGGTCAGGATGAGCAGATCTTGCTCTTGGATCTATTCATCCACAGAGGAGAGGAGGGTACTGGTTGAGACTTGGCTCTCCTTTGGAGGCAATGGGGACTTGGTGGAGAGAGGGCTTCCGGGGTCAAGGCCGTCAGGGAAGGTTGGCTAGGCCAGGGACCAGGGAGCTTGTGCAGGAAGATGGGGAAGGTCCAGCAGGTGCGGTGGGGGAAGGGGCGGGCAGAACTCCCTGTTCAGGGCATAGAGTCCTCAGAGGAACTTCTGGAATGAGTCCCCCTGGCCCTTGGTCAACATTAGGTCAGATTTGGGACTTTCTGAGGAATTTTCCCCTCTCCACCCTGCCCCATTTTCTAACCCATCCGAGGAACTTCCCGCCCTTAACCTCTTCTCAGCTCTGCCCTCCATGTAGCCGTCTGCAGAGGGGCTCAGCAGTGACTGCTGGGCCAGGCCGGGGCAGAGCTGGTGGGAATGCTCCTCCTAACCCATGGTGCCTGGAAAGTCCCCTGCTCATGCTTCCTGCTCTGGGAACAGTGTTGTCCTCTGTGTGCCTTCCTTGAGGGGGGACCACCTCCCAGGCCTCCCGTCCTCAGGGTGAAACTGTCAGTCTGATACTTTTCTTTTTTTTTTTTTTTTTTTTTGTTGAGACAGAGTCTTGCTTTGTCGCCCAGCCTGGAGTGCAGTGGCCGGATCTCAGCTCACTGCGAGCTCCGCCTCCCGGGTTCACGCCATTCTCCTGCCTCAGCCTCCTGAGTAGCTGGGACTACAGGCGCCCGCCACCTCGCTCGGCTAGGTTTTTGTATTTTTTAGTAGAGACGGGGTTTCACTGTGTTAGCCAGGATGGTCTCGATCTCCTGACCTTGTGATCCGCCCGTCTCGGCCTCCCAAAGTGCTGGGATTACAGGCTTGAGCCACCGCGCCCGGCCCAGTCTGATACTTTTCTCAGGAGGGACTTGGATGTAGGAGAAGCATCAGGAAGTGGGGTCTTGGGATAATGCCAGGCCTGCTCCTGGTATCCTGAGGTCTCTGGGCTGGGGCAGGTGTGTGTGTGGTGAGGGAGACTGTCCTGGCCCTCCTCTCTCTTTTCTTTCTGCCTCTATGGGGGTGGGGGTATTGGGAGAACTTGGGGCTGTTCTGGGGTAGCTAAGCCCCTTTCTTAGAGATTGGGGGACCAGTGTCGGGGGCATCCTGGTGATGGCAGATGCCTGCCTCGTCACATGCCAGGCAGATGTTCCCGACTCAGCTGGACCCAGCTGCTCGTTTCCTCCCTCGCTTTGCTCTGAGGAGGCAGAAAACAAGGCCTCTCTTTCTGCCCTGAGCAGCTACCAGCGCCCAGGGTAGGGGATCCCCTGGTCACCAGTCTTGGCCTGGTACAGGAAAAGGAATCCGCTTTGTGGCCACAAGTGGGGGCTGGGGATGGAGGCAGACCTCGGATCCTGCATCTCGTCACCCGCTGGACACAGGAGGGCTATGAAGCACTGGGCCATGACTGCGCCACTGGCTGGAGCAGAGCCAGGCATGGGAGAGGCAGGTGGCCCCATCGGCCCCTGCTCTGCACCACCCCCCTCCCCAGATGACAAAGCCATATGTCTTCCACGTGTCTACACACTCACAGACTCACACACGTAATCACTCAGTCTCACAACAAGCACATGCAGTCACATACCTGCCCACAGGCACATAGGCCACACAAGCATGCCTGTGTACTCACACAGTCATATTGCCACACGCTGTTACACATTCACGGCCATATCCACACATGCCTTGCCATCCATTCAAAGCACCAGTGGCTACTTTGTCACACACAGCCACACCACAGTCCCATGCACATGGTCGTAGCCTCACACAGTGACACACACTCAGGCACACACTGCCACAAAGCCATGCTTGCACAGAGCAAAGGTGTCACAAGCATCTCTGTGCCTGCACTGCACCTGCACGACCTCCCAGGGCCCCCACCTCGTCAGAGATTCAGGAAAGCTTTGCATGGAGACACCACCCCTGGAGGGGGTGTCTCCAAGCGGGAGTACAGTCAGTCACAAGCACCACATGCAGGCGCACAGGCAGAGAGGTCTAGGGATGCAATTGGGATGACTAGATACCACCAAGTTCAGCTCTTTATTGCACAGATGGGCACCTGAGGCCCAGGGAGCAGTGGTGGCTAGCCTTATCACCCAGCAGGGCAGGGGATACTCTGGGTCCAGTGCCTGGCTCCGGGCAGACTCTGTGGCCTGGCCCTGCCCTCCCCTGGGCCAATCCTCTGGGCCAGGCTGCCTCGGAAGGCCCCTGGCTGAACTGATCCAGCAGAGCTCAAGGCAGCTCCCATCTCAATCTAGAGCCAAGCTGCAGTGGCCATGGGAGCTGGAGCCAGGATGCGGTGGGCAGGGCCTGGGCGGGAGGAACATTCCTGCACCATCTCCTCCCGAAGCATGTGAGGACCCGGCCCGCCCTGCCTGCCTGCCCGCTGACTCAGGCCTCCAGGAGCCAAGCCTGCTCAGCTCCCCCACCCACCCCAACCTGCTTCTCCACTAGTTCGGCTCTGGTTCCTCTCTCCATTGGCTGGGGCAAGAGGAGACGGTGAGCCCTGGCAGGAAGACCATGGGGAAAAATCAAACCTCACCACCCCCAGACATAGCTCAGAAGGGCTGATTGTGAAACCCAGCTCTCTTCAACATAGTTGAACACAAACTCTTTTTTTTCTTTTGGTTTTGTTTTGTTAGTCAAACCCCAGTGCAATGCAGTCTGTTTAAGAAGTAGTGCTCACATAGCTGTGGCCTGGGTCTGTTCAGCAGCCCTGGTAGGCAACATTTATTCCTTTTCACAACGAAGAGAAGACTTGGCCAGAGGGAAGATGGGACCTGCCTGGATTCACACAGGGAATCTCTGGCGGGGCTGAACTCGAATCCAACTCCCTGCCATCACTCCTTGGAGTCACATTGATGAACTCATTTGGGCCAAAAGAAGAAGGGGAGGCAGGTTTCTTCTCTAGATCAGTGAAAGAATAGGAGGCTGGTGAACCCAACAGCTGAAATGTGAAGGGTGAGAGGGTACGGTGAGTCCCACCAGCCCTGAGGGATGAAGGGTCTGAAGATGGCGCTGCGCGGTGACAGCTGCAGTGACTCAGGAGCTCCGTTTACAAAGGAACATGAGTGAGGAACATAACTTCATTTTTAAAATATCTGACCTGAATTTCTCTTTTCCTCCCCCATTCTCCACATGGTAGAAGTGTAATCTCAAATCAATTTGGGGACCCCTTTTTTCCCCAGGGATGCGTAGAACTTTTGGGGATGGCACATTTGAAGACCTTAGGGAGCCCCTAGCACTTTGCATTTTAAAGGCTGAATCCTACACTCTATCATACATATTAATATTTACCTGCATTCCACATTAAAGGGTTCAGTTTATGACTTGACAGTGTCTTGTCTTGTAGATACTTAATTAAACTGTATTAATTTTGATTTTGCCCCTTTCTGTTGGTGCTCTGCTCTCTTCCCTCCTCCCCACCCTGCCCACCCAGTGGCACACATTGTTATGGTTGCTTCTTGCAGAACTCCTGGACCTGGATGCTGCCGTTGGGCCTGCGGTGCTCGCCATGGTCCTGGTAAGCATTGGATCCTCTGATCATCTTGCCCTGCCTCCTGCCTTTCCCCTGCATGCTCCCTGATGCCCATCCTGAGGCTCTGTGTGTCTGGCTCCTTCTCTGCTTTTGGGCACTCAGGGCTCCCTCCATTGCCCTGTACTAAGGGGCTGACAGAGGTCCTTTCTGGGGCCTGTGGTGATCATTCCACAGCTCCCACTTCGCGGTCAAGCACAGGGAGCTCTGGGGTGCTGCTTAGACACCCCATGCCACCCTGTTTCTTCTGGGGTCTGGCTGCCTCCTTGGGGTTCTACCTAGAAAGGGGATATGAGTCCCACTGCTTCAGAATCTCCCAGCCTCTGGGGATTCTACCATCTCCCAGTGCAGGCAGCACCGTGATGGGCACTGGATGGTTGTTATTTTACAACCACCCCATGTGCAAGAGATTATTACCATCATTTTACACACCAGGAAATGGGGTCCAGCGAGGGAGGTGCTGGAGTACTCAAGGCTGGTGTGAAACAGTACCCAGGCCTGGGCCACCTGTGCTGAGAGGCAGATGGCCAGTGCCAGGGCTGGGTGTTGGAGGCTGGCTGAAGCCTGGAGGCACCTGGAGCCGCTTCTAGGCTGACCTGCACCCCCTTGCTGCCATTTGGCAGGAGTGCTCTGGGGTTGGAGCAAGGGAGTATGAGGCTCCTCCATATAGTCCTGCTGCCCCCAGATAGCAGCAGCCCCCACCCCGACCCCGCTCCTTTCCCTTCACCACCCAGAGGCAGGACCTCAGAGTGGCTGAGCCAAGTGCAGATCCTGCCCAGTGCAGCCTTGCTGTAGGGATGTTTCTTAACTGCTTCATGCTTGTTTCTCCACTGAGAGGGGAGTTCCAGATGGCTG